CCCCTCCCCCTCCCAGCACTTTTAAGGCAGTGGTTAGTTATTTTGGTAAATGTCTAACCATTAGGGCAGTGTGTCTGAGTTTCAGCTCTGTCTGCACTGGAGTGTTCTGAGCTGGTCGTCTCTGCAGACTGAACAACCTCCATATCACCATCTGTGACCGCATCCTCGGTCTTCTTGCTTTTTTCTTCCTCCTCTTCTTCTTCCTCTTCCTCACCACTAGAGGGCATTTCTTTCATGTTGAAGAGCTCAGGAGGCAGATTGGTTCGCTTTGGGGGTAACGTCTGCACATTTAGGTGAAAGAGAGAGAGAGAGAACTCATTACAGTGCCTAATGACATATATATTACATATTATATATATTATTCCTACATAAATTAAAAAAGACTCACTCCTATTGTTCCAGTCTTCAGTTTGAATTTACTCCCTCCTTTCATGGCTCCAAACATAGGGAGAGATAACTTAGGTTTCTCAGCATCCGTGGACTGACTACTAGACCTGTATTTAAAAACAAAAACATATTAATCACACATTTAGGCCCATATTAAATGTTTTTTTTCTTCTTCTTCAGTTTTTATTTTTCCTGGATTCCGTTTTCAATAATCAACTTTAGGCAATCAGTTGAATCTATAAAACTTTAACAATGTAAGAATTTATTAAAATTAGTGACCTTTGAAATGCCTTTTCTTTTTTTCCCCCAGAAATTCAGTGTTGTCTATTTAAATTTTTCTGCATTCTGTTTTATTTAAATTTAATATAAAAAATGATGGAAATCCAATTAATTTAAATTGTGATATTTCTTAAACAATAATGAACAATTAATGACCCACTGGAAGATCATCTTGGGACGTTTTGGCTTTACTTTTCAACAGTGGAAGAAAGAGGACGTGTGTCATGTCGTCCATTTTTTTTACACTCTGTGGTATTTTTGATTTATTCATCCCACTTCCATGATATTTCACATTATAAAGTTATATAAATTCATTTTTATGACTGGATTCCATGGTTCCATCTTTGTTACCTGCATCACAGGAATCGCAGGGCCCTATAAACAACCTACATACATAATGTCTCATCTTAAAGGGTTAGTTCACCCAAAAATGAAAATTAGCCCATGAATTACTCACCCTCAAGGCATCCTAGGTGTATATAACTTTCTTCTTTCAGATGAATCCAATCGGAGTTATATTAAAAATTGAGTTTGACTTTCCATGCTGTTTAATGGCAGTCAGCGGGTGTTGCAGTTCATCAGTCCAAAAGAAGTGAAATAAAGCACATCCATCTATAATACAAATTTCCTTACACAGCTCCGGGGGGTGAACAAAGGCCTCCTGTAGCGAATCGATGCGTTTTTGTAAGAAAAATATCCATATTTAAAACGTAATAATCAATTTAATCTAGCTTGTGCACACTGTTGTACACGGAAGCAGCTCCGGGCGGATGACGTAGGAGTTGAGCATGCGCCGCTCAGAAGTGACGAACGCGGAAGCGCAGGGGAGAGATTAAAAAAACGGTCACGAATTAGAAGTACAAAACGAGGATTTGTAAAGAAGAATGTCAGAGGATTTCGATATAAGCCAAGAGGAGACTAGTTTTCCTTTGCTAAAGTAAAGAAACTTTGCTTCTGTAAACAAACGTTGGTTTTCACGAGACTCACCGGTGCATGCACACCACATACCTCATACGTCATCCTCCCGGAGCTGCTTCCATGTACAACTGTTGGTGCAAGCTAGATTAAAGTGATTATTAAGTTTTGAATATGGATATTTTTCTTACAAAAATGCATCGATTCGCTACAGGAGGCCTTTGTTCAACCCCCGGAGCTGTGTGAGGCACTTTTTATTATGGATGGATGCGCTTTATTTCACTTCCTTTGGACTGATGAACTGCAACACCCACTGACTTCCATTAAACAGCTTGGAAGATCAAAGACAATTTTTAATATAACTCCGATTGGATTCATCTGAAAGAAGGAAGTCATATACGCCTAGGATGGCTAATAAGAATGGGCGAATTTTAATTTTTGGGTGAACTATCCCTTTAACAGCAAGTGACTGGCTGAGCTAAACTCTCGGAAAAGGACACATCATCTGAATTTATTCACACGATATTTATATCATGATCACAAACCCACTGCTCTACAGATTTATGCCAAAAAAGAAATTGAATCATTTAAACTGCAAAACCAGGTCTGTGAAATCATGCACGTTGATGAGAGACACAGAAATCTTCAACAGACTGCAGTAGTCAATTAGAAATCATAACTTTTGTACATTATCAACTGTGCACATGTTTTTAAACCCGTCGTAAATCAATTTCTAAGCTTATCTGGAGGGAACACTGAGCTCACCTGCTGGGCTGTAATGAAGGCAGCTGGGTGGGTTTGGCCAGGTCTGCTAACTTGCGCAGTCTCTGACCTTCCTTCTTCAACTCGGCTACATGTAAATGTAGCTTCTTTCTCTCCACTCCACCCAGAGCCGTCTCGCTGCGTACAACACTCATGAAAGCATCTAGAGGGTCCTCTGTCGAAGAACTGGAGACTCCTGAAGGAGGACAACAAACATGAAGTGTAACCTTACACATGATGAAATATGGAGGGAAATATAGCAAAACCAGGTCTGTGAAATCATGCACGTTGATGAGAGACACAGAAATCTTCAACAGACTGCAGTAGTCAATTAGAAATCATAACTTTTGTACATTATCAACTGTGCACATGTTTTTAAACCCGTCGTAAATCAATTTCTAAGCTTATCTGGAGGGAACACTGAGCTCACCTGCTGGGCTGTAATGAAGGCAGCTGGGTGGGTTTGGCCAGGTCTGCTAACTTGCGCAGTCTCTGACCTTCCTTCTTCAACTCGGCTACATGTAAATGTAGCTTCTTTCTCTCCACTCCAACCAGAGCCGTCTCGCTGCGTACAACACTCATGAAAGCATCTAGAGGGTCCTCTGTCGAAGAACTGGAGACTCCTGAAGGAGGACAACAAACATGAAGTGTAACCTTACACATGATGAAATATGGAGTGAAATATGGTACCTTGGCCTTGTTCTTCATACTCAAACTCTAGTTCTTCTCCTGAAATGAAAATAAACAGTTAAAATAACATGTTTGCGTGGTAAAGAAATCAGGATTTCATGATTCTGTATCTTCATTTGAATCAAGTTAGGTTACCTTCTCTGTCATAAAAGCCCTGTAATGCCTTTTTAGGATCTTTTAAATATGCTGCTTCCTGATCCTCTTGAAATTCTGTGGCAAACGGATTCTCCTCATTCTCATCCTCTTCTGGCACTGCCTCTTCATCTAAAAAAACAAAACAATGTGTAAGTTCACTGAGATTAGGTAGATACAATGGGCCTCATTTATCAATCTAACGTAGAAACGAGTGCAGATCCGCACAAATCAACTTACGACAGAGTTCACGTGTGATTCATGAAACATTCGTATGCCGCCAATCTCATCGTACGAATGATCGCACGTTGATAAATTTGCTGGCAGAAAACAATCGTCATTTGAATATCACGCCCCTAAAAACACCCCGGTTTAGAAGCCTCGCCCCTAGAGTTTACAACACGGAGAAACAAAACCTGGTCAAAACGAGGAAGTAATCTCATGAAAGAGAAATTGATCTTACTCCAAAAATACCCGCTAACCTTGTAATTGCAAACAATTAGGCTACATTCATTTATGTCATTTATATGTATATTAAAATACTGGTATGCTAAATATTATAGCCTATTTCCCTCACTTTGCAACAAATATTTTAAATGAACGGTATTCAGAACAAAACAAGAATGAAAAATAAGTAGTTATAAAATTATATATTAAACTATAAAATAAAACAAATTAGGCTATAGTGGCAAACAGCATACAAATGTCAAGCAAAACTGAAACTGCATTGGGCTCACGAGCCGGTCTCATACCACAAGAAACCAAATGTTTCCATTTTTGCCATATTAGTAAGATTTGGTTGCTTAACTATTATTCATTATGTAGCCTAAACAAGGCTTTATACTACACTCATGTTCTAATATCCGTGTAAAATCCTTCACATGCGCAAAAATGTTTGTTTGGGCTTTAAACGCTGATTTTACAGCGGACCTTTTAAAATAAACAGTGTAACTTTTATGTTTGGTTGACGGCATTTTAGTTTGATGATGAATGGCTGAACTAATGAGCTTCGGTTGACAGTCAGGAAAATAACCTAAATGAACAAAATGCTGTCATTCTACAATTCTCCACCGTATTTACGATGCTGCGCTCAAGTTCAGGTAACTCAAAAACTTGCGTACACGAGCTGAGACCAGACGTCAGATTTCATCGTAGCCACCGCTCACGTCCATATTGATAAATTCCAAGTTTTGCGTTGAAACGACCGTACGCCCAATTTTCTGTCGTACGTTCGTTTCGTAAATCGGAAAAAATTTGGGCAAGTCGTAGCCTAATGGTTAGAGAGTCGGACTCGTAACCCAAAGGTTGCGGGTTTGAGTCTCGTACCGGCAGGGATTGTAGGTGGGGGGAGTGAATGTACAGCACTCTCTTCCACCTTCAATACCACGACTGAGGTGCCCTTGAGCAAGGCACTGAACCCCCAACTGCTCCCCGGGCGCCGCAGCATAAATGGCTGCCCACTGCTCCGGGTGTGTGTTCACGGTGTGTGTGTGTTCACTGCTGTGTGTGTGCACTTAGGATGGGATAAATGCAGAGCACGAATTCCTAGTATGGGGCACCATACTTGGCCACATGTCACGTCACTTTCATTTAAATGAGGCCCAAAGGATTGAGGATCATTTTTGTCTTTGTTACCCATTCCCCAAGAGCAGCCAGTATCTTCTGAGGAGCTTCTCGTTGTAGCACTGGCTTCACTGTCCTCTTTCTCTTCCTCCTCATCCGAGCCATCACCCATCATCCTCTTCTCCAGCTCTCTCCGTTTTCTAGCACGCTCTCTGAGCTCTGTCACCGTCAGTTCAGATTCTGCTTCTTCATCAAACTCTGGACCCTGAGAAAAGAGGGAATCTGGTATAATCAAAGCTAGCTCAAGCAATAATACTGAAGAGCATGAGTTAAGTCTAATTTAGGTCTGGTCTGGACAACACAGTAAAAGATATATATATATATATATTTTAAGTTGTAAATAAACCTACTGGAGGATTTTACAAAAGAGAAGAAGAAAAAAATATATATGTTACTATATATGTAATATATGTTGAATATGTTACTTGCTGTCTCATTGTAATTGTGAAATTTACTAGCAGCAACTTCTGAGTGAAAACTGTTTTGGTAACTTTGAATTGGTAACCACAGTTTCTGGTGAAATATCATTGTTACTACAACTATTAAAGCCACAAACGGTACCATGTTTTATGGACAAGTACATTTGCAAAACCATGGTGCATGAACATGGTAATCATTTAGTATCATGGTATACATCAAACTAGACAAACATCACTTCAAAAAAAAAATTGAACATTGTTATACGGTTTATGTATGTATGTATGTTAGTACGTTTCAACCAAGAAGTGGACAAGTATTGAAATTAAATCTCGTGAAGTCTTTCCAAATTATAATGTGCATAAAGAAATCACATTGAGTCATATTTTAGGGGCCATTCTATTTTTTGCTTTACTTTTGAGCTTGTTTGTAATTGTTATTCTCATTGATTTCATTAGAATTGCCATTCTCATTTTTGTATTATATTTATTTAATTATTTTTACCATTTTAATCAGTATAAAGGCAGTGCAATAGTACGATGATGTATAAATACCTGTTATTTATTTTAAATAACGCACACACACACACACACACACACACACACACACATATATCATATAACATAATTTTACATATTATGGTATATTTGTCCCACTGTAGGCGTGGGTGTGGGTTTTGATATTTGAGTTGAGCATTCATAACTACTACATGTGCATCAGGTGACAGGAGATATTTTTCATAGAAATGTCAGTTTGAACAGTCTATTCTATGGTTTTCAGATTGTACCACTGTCAAAAGAAACATTGAGTGACCGCACTGTGTGAAGATGATGCGTTATTGGGGCGAGCTCCCAGTGGCTTCGGCTCCCTCGGGCCGCAGTTCTTTTGACCTCCTGCAGCGTGAGTTCCGCCAGGTAGAGATGCAGGACCCTCCCTTGCACCAACCTTCTGCACAGCGTCCACGTCCCACCACCATGCTGGATATCCCCTCTGAGCCCTGCAGCCTCACGATCCACACTGTGCAGCTGAGCCAGCATGCTCGTCGTCTCCGGGGTCTCATTGCTGCTGCCCAGCAAGGCCAGCAACCCCTGTCCACATTATTAGATGCCCAGGGTGTCTTGAAACCTGAGGATGGGGATGCTCTACCTCCCCGGCCTGCCACACCAACTGTACCTGATGATCTGCTTCCACTGGATAGTAAAGCTCCTCGACAGCCATTCCAACTACGTCATAGTGACCCAGAGAGCGACTTCTACAAGTATGTCAATAGATCATCATGCATCTCGGTCATTGTTTGTCCTGTCTATTAATTTGTATTTAAAAAATCCTTGACAATTCCAATTATACATACAGTGACTTGAATACACCTCTTCTAGGAACAGAATGTTTTCAATTTCTGAATTAAAAATTGATTTTGATATTTTATGGGAGAATAAATTAAAAGAAAAAATAATGTACAGATGTCTTAATATCTAGTGAAATGAAAAAAAAAACTCTTTAAAGAAAGAAGTTTTATGCAGAATTTTATTCTAGGGGGGGTAAAAACATGAAAAAAAAATCTGGTTATTTCAGTTTCTTTCTTTCATTTAAATAGTAATTCCATTTTTATAAAATACAACTTTACTTTTTACTTGATGGTTACACAACATTACATTTTAGACTCATTTAGCTAGATTCAATTCTTTTTAATTGTTTTTATTGTTCACACACCCTTATACATTGACCTTTGTCTGTCTGTAAGGCCTATATTAACCTTGAACTTCAAAGATTTTTAAAATGTAAGGATTTGTGAAGCCAACATTTAAATTTGTCTCGATTAACCTTTTCTCTAGATACAGAATCATCAGATATAGCCTATAAATTTAAACCTGAACGTTTGAAATGTAATTTAAATTTATAAAGAAAACGCCACACTTTATTGTCCTGTGATCCCTGTTTTTCACTTTTTTTCCCAATTTTTCCACATCTCCCTCATTTTAGAGGTAAAGGTGAGCCAGTCACTGAGTTGAGCTGGCCGTCCTGCCGCCAGCTTCTGTACCAGTCGGTCGCCACAGTGCTCGCTCACGTTGGATTCGAGTCAGCGAATGAGAGCGTGCTGGAGACTTTGACTGACCTGGCCCACGAACATTACCTGCGGATCACCAAGTTGCTGCGCGTGGCTGTTGACAGGGAGGCCTGCCAGGGCTCTACACCCTTCCCTGATGTGGTGGAACAGGTATTTCATGAGGTGGGCATCGGCAGCGTCCTGGCTCTGCAGCGCTTCTGGCAGGTCCGCATTAAAGATTACCACAGCTACATGCTGCAGGTGAGAGATCTCCAATGTTATGCCAGCTTCAGTACCTACAGGACTGTATGTGTTCCTTTTATTTTACATTGTGATGACATTGACTGACTAGTGTCGTCTTTTGTCTGTAGGTCAGTAAGGAGCTCTCAGAAGAGTATGAGAGACTCGTGAATCCAGAAAAAGCTCTGGAGGATTCCAAACCTTTGAAGGTTAAAGAGGAGCCAGTGAGTGACATTGCGTTCCCTTTGAGCGAGGAGCCAGAAGCGGATCTGGCCTCAGGTGACCAAGCCCTTCCCATCGGTGTTCTGGGCACATCCAATGAAAGACTGGCTGGAGGACTGGAAGAGGGACATTCCCCTCACACATCAGGTACCTCATTCAGTTGTGAAGGACCCTTATTAGTGCTCAATAAAGCCCAGTTGAAATGCTCCAAAAAAAAAAATATTAAAACATCATATGCAATTCATTCATTTGTTTTATTCTTTTAATTGTAAAATAATAATAATTATTATTATTATTTTGTAGTCTTATTAATTGGGGAATAAACAGTTTATTTTCCTTTTAATTCTGGTTCAGTCATGGTTACTTTTACCCTTAGAAGTCTGTTTTTGCTACTGTACCTTTAAGACTTCCTTATGCAAATGTCCTCTGTTATGATTGGCTAACCTCTAAGTTTGTGAGATGAGTAGCAAACATACTTGAGATAAAGTTAAAAAATAAAGTTCAATGGATCAATTCTCACCAATATCTAAAAAAAAGGGCAAAAATGCCTCAAAAGCTCCCAAGACCCATTTATACAGAGTGAGAAAAATAGTTAGCGTCATAATATAAGTATCTTTCACAACATAAAAGTTAAATAGTTGAAAGTCAAAATGATTATAATATTTTCTGAACAATATTATCTGTAATGTTAGATATGTAAACCTTAATAGAAATAAATGTCTGTTTAATTCAAGTTTTCACAGTATTTTCATTATTCGCTGTATATATTTTTGGTCACATTTTAGTTTTGCGACCAGTTCTCACTATTAACTAACTATTTACGATGACTTTTGTCTCAGTAAATAGTAAGGTATTTGTTATGCTTAGGTACTGGGTAAATTAAGGGATGTAGAATATGGTCAGAATGCAGAATAAGGCATTAATATGTGCTTTATAAGTACTAATAAACAGCCGGTATGCTAGTAATGTACATGCTAATAAACAACTAAGAATAGAATTAATACTGAGAATTGGTCACCAAATATTTTTTTTTCTACCAAATTTTCTGTGGACACCCAAGCACTGCCTTGTGGCCCCCATGGAGGACCCAGTTTGAAAACGCTTGGTCTAAATTACTGTAACAATTTCAAAGTCCACATATAATCACAAAGTAATGAGTTTCAATACAACCTGGGTGTTTGGACTCACAGGGCAATTCTTGCTCCGCATTCACAAATTCTTAAAGGGGTCATATGATGCGATTTCAATTTTTCCTTTCTCTTAGGAGTGTTACAAGCTCTTGGTGCATAAAGAAGATCTGTAAAGTTGCAAAGACTAAAGTCTCAAATCCAAAGAGATATTCTTTATAAAAGTTAAGAGTCAGCCACACCTACCTAAAACGGCTCGTTCTAACACGCCCCCACATACCTACGTCACTATGTGGGAAGATTTGCATAACGCCGCCTAAATGTTCGCGCAAAGAAAGAAGGCGTAACTTTTATTCTCGCTGTAGTTTTGTTGCCGCCGCTGCCATGTCGTGAAGACGCTGTGTGCTTCGTTGTGAAAGCGAAACTACTTTATTTGGCCTTCCAAAAGAGGACGATATCTGCTTCGTCATGCCT